TTCCTGCTCTCTGTGCCATTTTTCTCTTGTTGCTGATATAAGTGCTTCTGTGGTCTTGCAGTGAACCAGAGAGCAATGAATTGATGTGGCTTAAAACTAAATTTAAAAAAATAAATCTGTTTTTGTTTCCCATTCATGTGAACCAAGGAGAGAAGAAATGACATTGAGGCAGGAACAAGCTAACAAATGAAAGGTGGGACTGCTGCTTTTGGCAGCAGTTTTGGCCCACACTAGTTTGGTGATGGTAAAAATAGGGAGTAAGCACAATCTATTGTTTTGGTATGTGCCGAGTATATACTACAGTTCGATACCACACGTGGAGGTAGAATGTACTAAAGAGGGAAAATTCACTGAAGTGTGACTTCACAGTGAAAGCTATCGCTAATACCTCTGGAGCTTGATTGTTTCGCGTGGCAAAGGTCTGCTTTCCCTGGTGTGTTAGAGCTGTTGTAACAGCTGAACTGTAGCATGCAGTGTGCTCCGAGTTGAGTTGGTGAAATGGAGTGATTATGTGTGCAGTAGTACTATTAGTAGTAGCTGAAGAAAGCAAAGTGAAGTTATTCCTTTTTGCCCAGGAGGAAAAGGGCATTACCTGTGGGGAAAAAATTACCTACCTGTTTAGTTTGTAGTTTCTTAGGAGGTAGGCTGTATAGGTATGGAAAGATAGTGGTACTGAAGTTTTATACTTTCTATTTTCATAGCATCATAAAAATTGGCTACGTGCAGTGTCTTCTATGTATGGTAGCTAGCAGATAATCCCCTAAATTTTAGGGACAACGTGTCTGAGTTGAAATCAGGCTTTTGGGTGCAGGTCAAGCGTACCCAGAAAAGTTTGTGTGCAAGTGCACTTTTTTTCTAGCTCTGTTCCTAAAGAACAGGTTTTGTCTGCTGTTTACCACTGGCTAAGTGTGTTTCCTGGAAGAAATAAGCCTTATGTAACAAGTCATCATACGAAGGGTTCAGAAGTTGTTGATGGTTTCTGACCTAGTCAACTAGGTTCCTACAAGAGGAAAATAGGGTGCTTGCACTGTGGGAGAGAACATGTACGTTCTTGCTTTCTAGACACCAGGGAATCCATGGAGAGGAGAGGCTTTTATTATGTGTCCTAACCATGGGAAAAAACTTAATTGGAGTTTGCTTCTCATTATATGCCCAAATCATCAACTGTTTAATGCAAATTTGTAGGAAACTGGCTTTGTTAATTATGGTGCCTGTAGCCTATACCAGCACCACTCCCTTATTTGCAAGGAACAGCGCTATCAACAAAGATAACCCTCTCATGAGGTTTCATAATGCTAGTTGTCCTGGTATTGCTGCCATTGAGGAATATTTTGAACAAAAGTACAGGCCTCTTTCCACATAGGTTGTTCTGATGTTTTGGAATATCTGGAGAACTTCAGAAGTGGCCCTTTAGATCTGCATGCAGGCAGGACTTTCTCAGAATTGTCTCTCGTCTCTGAAATTTGATTTCTCCTGAATTAAGTTTTGGCTTTTAGTGGGGTGGAGGAGAGTTTCTGTGTGTTGTCTTTTGGTAATGCTGGACATCTTGTGATCCAGAAAGTTTGCAGGCTAATAGGCTTGTCCCTAAGCTGTCCCTAAGGCTTCTGTAGCTATTGGAGGGGTGTAGAGAGGAGAAGGAAAGTGGAGCAGTGCTCGTTGAGAAGGGTTGTGAGAAGATTCGATGTGGAGCTTCTGTTTTATCTTTGAAGCTCCAGTTTGGTTGTAGGGGAGTCCTGAGCCTTCAGTGTTCAGTGATGGGAGCTTGTGGCTGCTATTCTTGTCCCTGCTCTTTCCTGTGCAGTTCCACACAGCAGCTACCTGAAATAGGACAGTTGTTGCTCACCCAGGCTGCAGTACCTGGGCACTGCTCAGTTATGCTGGCACCTTGAGAAGAGTGAAGGACAAGAGAATCATTGCGTCTTTTGCTAGTCCCTTGTGTCTGTGCTTTAGAAGAGCTGACTGGACAAGGTTTGGGTGGATAAGCCTTGTCTTCCCCTTTCTGAACCCTGAAACTTTTTTTTTCCCTCTCCTGTGGGTTATCTCAGTTAAGGCAGCTAAAGCAGGCGCTTGCTGGAGAAGCCAGTGTGGGTCTGCTACCTCAAGAACAATCTAATCTGCGTACTCTCAACAGGTTAGAGAAGCTGGGTAAGGTTGTTCGCAGAGAGCTCTGCGAGGGGGTGGGTGCAGGCCCTGTTGTGGCTGAGGAGATCCCACGACACTACTGCTGGTTGGGTTGGTATGTAGATTGTTCAGTTCCTTAGTAGTGACGAAAGGTGTGGCCCGAATGCCACGGGGAGGGTTTGTTTGTGGTGAACAAACTGAGAATCCTGGCCTAGAAAAAACAAATGTGTCTGTGGAAAGGAAAGGGGCGAGTCTTTGATGCTGTATTTTTTCCTTTTAAAACCCATATATATGCCTAGTAATTGTCTTATCTTTTTTACCAATGCAAGATCAAAATAAAAATTGCAGGTCTGTAATTAAAGCATAACAAATAGTAGGATTATCACTGAAATCCTCCTGCCCTCTTGTGAAAACGAAATTTAAAAATTTCCACGAAAAAAACCTTCATGAAAACTTGTCAGTGCTAATGAGGCTGAATGAATTGAACTTTTACTTTGCTTGCATTTCTTTCCTATTTAAAGCTTGCAAAACGCCTTTTAACCTTGAGTGACTTCTTCCCCCCCACCCTTTTTTTATTTTTAAATCCCACAAAAGACATGGAAAGAAATCAAATAGCTTTTAAATAGCCTTTTCTGCTTATGACCCTTTTGTGAACATGAGACACTTAAAACAAGGCTAGTGTGTGACTTGTTTTGATCTACTTAAATTCAGTACTATTGAACTATTATACAATGCAAATTCTTTAATTACAGAATATAAAGCTAGTGATGGTAGTTATGTATGATTTCTTAAGGAAGTATTGGTTTTTCAGGTTTTTGGATAGAAATACTTGTAGAACATCATCTTTAGGCGAGTTGAAACTTGCTGGTGTATTTCATGGTATTATAGCGTCTTTGAAAGACGGCATTTGTATACATCTAAGATTCAAGTTGCAGAATCAAGGCCTTCAGATTTTAAGGGCTTGTACTTAGGTTGCCTGTGGATCATATTGGTATATCTTTCTCTTAGGAATCGGTCTCTCTTGTTTTCAGGACCAGCTGTGTTAATTGAGTAGGGTTCTTGTGTAGGGTTAATACCAGCTTTCCAGATAGATGGGAGTGGGGGAACAAACAAGTTCAATTGCAGCCCAACTGAAAAGGTGTAACTTCTTGGCTGCCTCTGGGATCATTTATTAAACATGTCTTTAAAAGAGGAAAAAAGCTTGGCTTATGTTCTAGAGTACTTGAGATTCGAGATTGTAATCTCAAATTTTTCTCTTTTGCATTCATGAATGTTCAGCAGTCCTGCAGTTCAGGTCACTGGAATTCAGAAAATGTGTATGTGAAGTTTAAACTATTTTCCTATATGACACCAAGCAATTACTGGCTGAAGTAAGGCTTCTGTAGGGCAGTGTTCCAGAGCTGCAAGGAGGAGACTGCTCTATTTCATCCCCTACATATTTTCCAGGTTTTTTTGTTTGGTTTTTGTTTTGTTTTTAAAAAAAGCCCTCCAAGTACACTTCCTTGTTATGCAGACCTGTTAATTACCTATGCAAAGTGGTAATGATAAGAAAGCTAAGGTTCTGGGGTAATGCATTGCTTTTTCTAGTCTTTAATTGCCATAGAACTTCTCTCACAACCTGAGCTGTGGGGTGACTGTTAGCCTTCTATGAGGCTACAAAGAAGCGTCCTTAATCTGCAGGTAGCGTGGTGCTGCGCGCAGAGCTGAGCAACTCCCAAGTATTTGCCTAAAAATACATTGAGTTCTCATTTTTTTTTTTTTAAATATACTTTTGCTTTCCAGGGAACTAACTGGTTATAAATCTTCTTCCCTTTCTTTCAGATTCTTTTCCTCACTGCGATGTTAGCTTTTAATTGTAAAGGCTGTAGGAGAGGAATATCCATGATCAGTATAGAATATACTTCACCAGTAAGATTACTGAAATGTATAAGTGGAACTACATCTGTAGTTCTTCAGGCAAAAGTATGAAATCCCTGAAGATCAGGAATGGAAGAGGTATCTATGCAGTAAAGTAAAACCCTTGAGACATCTTTGTAGACCAGTCAGAAGTTTTCAAGAACATTATATGTGAAGCTGCTGTGATGAGAAGCATCTGCCCTTCTTAAATCTTTTGTGCAGATGGGATTTCAGTGCTTTTATGTTGCAAAGGAGTCGCCTAGAAATTCCTTCCTTGGGGTAGGATCTAGGTCCCCTTGAGGCTGAGGACTTCTCTGGATAACTGGGGCTCTGTCCTCAGAGGCAGATGAAAGGATTGTTGAAGGCGTTGTGTTACACCTGATAAAGGAAGTCGTTAAGGAGTCTTCAGATATCTTCACATAAATCAAAAGCACTTGCATCCTCTTTCTTTAATAATAAATCAGGCCTTTAGGATTAGATGTTTTGAGTTTTTTTCAAAAACTCTGATATGATTAGAGCAAAATCCCTTTCACTTAGAGTTTGGTTTGCCCCTAAATTTTCCTAGTTACTCCTTTCTTCCTCCTTTCCTCCCTTTCTGTGTGAGCTGTGGGGAGGGGAGTTGTAGGGTAAAAATATTTCTAAAACTGTTTTATAAAACAAAGAGACAAGAATTAGTATTTGCAAATTCCTTTAGTTTTAAAGGTGAATAAGTGTTTCTGTAGTTGACAAACTCAGTGCTTCATCTGCAGTTGATGACCATATTAATGATGAATAAAATTAAATTATTGTTTGAGAGAAACTGCTGGAACACAGAATAACTTAGGGTTCTAGGAAGCAGCTTACCCTGGCTGTGTGTGGTGTGGTTTTTTTTTGTTTTTTGTTTTTTGACTGTATGTTTGACACTATCAGGCTGCTGTAACCAGATCTCCTGCTGTATTCCAAATTACTGGTGTTTTATTCCAAACTTATTTGTTTATTTGTAGGTATAATGGCTCCCTCCCTAATGGTGACAGAGGACGCAGGAAAAGCAGATTTGCCCTCTATAAGCGACCTAAGGCAAATGGAGTTAAGCCCAGCGCTGTTCATGTGATTTCTACGCCCCAAGCATCCAAGGTATGTGACAGCAGGAAAATTCCATTTTCTGGTGATCCTGGGTCAAGAACAACTCCTGTAATACCACTGTCTGATTTGTCTTGCTGCCAGTTCACTCTGTGATAATCGGGAATATTTGTTCTGATGGAAAGTCTACAGTGGCTTCTCTTTCTAGGGATATTTATCTTTTAATCTGGTTACTGATTTTTAAAGAGTCTTCAACCTCAGGTATGAGTTAATCTGACCCTTCTGCCCCTGTTCAGAAAGCTGGCTTCTTAGTGCTGACAGTTTGGTTATCTGAGCCACAGGATAATCATCTGATGCAAATGTAAGAAGTATTTTTAATTCTTCTCTCAGTGAAGTATAAGATAGGTATGTCTGTTTCCTCTTCACAAAGATAAGCGACATGGTGTAAAAAAAAATACGATGATCTCTCTGAATCTTTCACTTGTGTTGCTAATAATGATATTGCATACATGTTTTCACCTGAAGTCTGGTGTAGGTGAAGGAGGGGAAGCGAAGTAAAAACATCAACACAACAAACAGCTCTATAGAACTGTCTGTGTTAATGTGCAGGGGGCCCGATATGTTTCAAGGTGTGAACAGTCACCTTCTCTCCTCTCTCAGACCCTTTTCCCAGAAGGGAAAAGTGGTTAGAATTTTCACTGAATTGGAGGGAGCAGTCTGTGGTCGCATTCACAGAAGTGAATGGTTTGTGGGAAGCGTACATTACTTTTTTGTATTTCAGTAACTACAAAACAGTTGCCACCTGCAGACTAATAAGTTCTTTCTCAAGCTAATTTCTTGTGATCTGTGTTACCTCAAAAAATACTGTAGATTTTTAAAATACTCATTGCATGGCTGGATCTCTGAAGTCCTGGAGCAAGTCTAGACTGAAGCGGTAGAAAACTAAATGCTAGCTACAGCTTTATTGAACCCGGGGAATTCATGGTGGTTGTGAATCATCAGGTGTTAAACTTGGACACTTGCATTGCTTTTTTGGAATGTTAGGGTATGTTTTGGCCATGTGTCCAGGTGTTATTTTGCAGATGAAGTTGGGGGAATCGAGTAGCTGAATGTAAGAATCTTGGCTTTCACTGAGGATGTTTTGGAACTGGAGCTCTATAAATAGTCTGAAGATTTTGCTTTGAGTTATGAATTATTGTTTGTCAAATATGACTTTTTGTGGTTACCTAAGTTAACTTAGTAGCCCTGAACATGTGGAATGGACTTGTAAGAGGCATTTTAGATATGGTGGTTCCTCCACCATCTGGCAATAGTTAGATAGGAAAAGCTGTTTTGTGGAGTTGTGTACAGTATGCTGGAAGTTATTTTGTGGTTCTAGGCTGTCTTAAGTTCTGCCTAGGAACTTTAGTTCTGATCTGCGCATATCACCTCTTGAATGTGTGGCTCAGTACCTTTGCTTCCCTGTAGTGGTAAAAGCAGTGTTACAAAGCTGGAGATGCTGGGTGGTTGCTGTCATTAACACAGTTATCTCCTGAACAGAAGCAGTTGAAATCTTATTATGTTGAGTGTAATTCAATACTGCAGTGGCTATGACCTGTTTTTAGTCTATTGGTAGCTCACAGCAGGACTTTTCAATTATTGATCAATCGGAGTTCTACAATCCCCTCCAATTTTGTGCGTCAGTTGTAAAAGAATAACATCTATCTTAATTTCAAATTCTTTCCTGCTGTTTCTTGCTTAACAGTGAAAGTTTGACAAAGAAATTAGTATAGCGTGTCATTTTCTTTTATAATGCATACCATACATCTAAACTTATCAAAATATAGCATACCAGAGCTGTGTTTCTTTGTGTGGTGTTGTTTTGATTGTACAGCTGCTGCATAGTGTAGATAAATATGTAGTCTTTTGGCTTAAAACTTTCTATAAACATGTTTCAGTGTTCCTGTTTTCAAAATGAAACTACTTGAGTTGAATCTCACTGAAATCACCCTTTGAAAAGAAAGGTCTGTTGCATCTCTCTGTGCGTTAGTGAACTCTTCTGTTGCTTGAAAGTTAATAAATGAAAAAACATGTTTTATGTAGCTGGTGGAAACAGACGTGTTTTCACAGAATAATCTTAAGCATTTGGGCTTTGGATAGTATTGTGGCATTTGTGTTTGAAAATGTTTAAACACCTGCCAGACACCGCTAGGTATCTGGTTAATGTTCATCTGCACTGTTATTGCAGTGTAGGTAGAATATGTGCTGTACAAATTAGTGCCCTTATCAAGATAGCTAGGGTCTGAGACATTAAAGTCCCTCCTTCTGAGGATTTGAATTCAGGTAGGTATGCCAGGTTGAATGTACTCTTTTGCACGTTCTCTGAACTCTTACAAAAGAGCTTTTGTGTATTTGTATTGTTGTCTACGGCAAGGCTGGTGGCCATGTGCCAGAACAGTGGTGCAGTGGATTGCAGTTCTTTCAGATGTGCAAAAAAGGACGTTTACATGTTAAAATACTTTCATAGGCTTTTCTGACATCTTAGAAACCAGAGCCTAAATCAGTTTTATTAGGAATGGCTTCTGCATAGAACTTTTGTAAATGATTCCAGAAACACAGACAAACTGAGGAGAGAGAGAGGGGAAGCTTTTCTATTCTTGGAAAATAGCGTGCAATTTGACACCAGAATTTTTGTTCTGCTCTCAGTCTTTCAATCTAGCCCTTATTTAGGGAAGAAAAAACAGTAGTAACTTTCATTGCACACAGGATATTAACAAGTTTCCTTCCTTTACATCCTTCCTTGTAACTTTTCAGATGTGACTTTTCTGTCCCGCTCTGCTTGTCTGTTGCTGTGTAAAGTGAATCTTTGAGTAGAAAGAAAAGTTATTCTTGGGGCTACTGATGCTCATTTGGTGGTTGATTTAACATAGGTGGCTGAAGCACTGTCTCCATCTGCGTGTCACGGCTGTGGCATGGATGTGTAAATAAGGTGCCTTGCTGGTTTTGTGCTAATATGGTTTTTGGGTCCTTATCTTAACAGAAGCTGTTGCCAATTTAAGTCAGTATGTCAGACTGAAAACTGCAGCAGATCTTAAGAGGATGCTTGTCATGTTCCATTGTCCCTGCTATGCAGGTGTCAAGGACAGCTGGAGTAGCGATGGTTTCAGTAGTAAATTTAGCTGCAATAATTACATGTGAATCAGTGCCTTTTGTTTTTTGTTGCTGGAGTGTTTGTTTTTTGCCACTCTGCCTTCTGGAGGTGCTGAAGAAGATAATTTAGAACTGTTTGGCCTACTGAGGATGTATGGATATGTTTTGGGGGGAAGCAGTACACTGGGTAAGAAGTTACAAGTTTGGTGGTGTGGTTTTTTGTTTTTTGTTTTTTTTCTTTTTTTAACATACTATTAAAATATGCATACATTCTTCAACATTATGCACTTGTCTTTAAAACTTATTTTATTAAATCTGTGCTTAGGCACCAGTTAGGGATTTTATAATAGTCTTGTTGTTTTCCAAAATTCAGGCCATTTGAGACAGACCTTTCCAGCAGGGACCAAATTGGTTTTACCGTAATAAAAGAATCCTACAATTTGTATGCTCTCTTGTTTGTTTGCGTATGTGGGCACGCCTTTAACCTGAAAAAAATGACGTAGGTCTCCTGACGAAGACGACGACTGTTGTGAAAGCTGATTAAAATACAGTCTGTGAAAACCTTTTTCTGACTACAGAACTTCTAGATGCACGTTTTGGTCATAACTCATCATGACACAACTAGGATTTACTTTTATTTTCATGCTATTAGAACTGTTTACAGCTTCTGGTTTTGAATGGGGCTGTTCTGTTGCTGAGTTTTTCAGGGTTTTTTTGGTTATTTTGTTTTGTTTTAAGCTGTTGCCTTTCACACACAACAGCTATGCTGTGGAACTCAGCTTTGGGTCTGCTCGTGCCCAAAATGATTATAGAATTTTTTCAGTGAGTGTCAAACTGAAATTGAGTGGGGGATATGAGTTTTCCAAATAATAGCCTGGGAATGATGGGATCCTGAAAGTGAGTTAAGTAGGTTGGGGGGACGGGGTATAAATAAGACTATGATTCCAACCTCTGCCAAGCAGAGATGTCCATCTTCCTGTACACATCCCCTTTGGTTCAGTGGGCCGTTAGGCTAATGCTTTCCTTCTGTGCAAACACAGTTGGGCCTTCACTCCCTAAGGTAGTTTGCACATTTGATTTCCTGGTCCTCTTGTGAGTCTGTGTGATCTCTTAATTCAAATATAAATTGGATACCTGCACCAAATTGCTGTTGCCTTTTCGTTATAGTCAACAGTAACCTGTGTTGCATGTTGTTAGTTAGGTGGCAAGAACTCCTCTGTCCCTGCATGAGGGGGGCTGGTAGCTTGTATTGCGTGCTCAGCATTGCCAATAATTTCATTGTCAAGTCGTGTAGTTTCCCCATGATTCTGGATGTTGATACATTAGATGTCTTTGTTGGTTTCTAATGCTTTGGACTTACCTCTGTGGGTGTTTGTTACTGAATAGGTTGAAAACACTAACAAGGAGTTCCGTGTGCATTTGAGTAGAGCTAAGTAGGACGTTAGGAAACATGAAGTGTGCACAAGACTTCAGGGGTTGACGTTAGCCTTCTAGGATTCCTTCCCTTGGATTGCTCTTGAAGCATGAATAAATCCTATCCCAGCAGTAGGTAGGAAGTTAATTAGCTTAGTTGCTAGTTGAGACCTTCCAAAGTGTTTGAATCAATGGGCAGGAGAATACTACCAGCAAGCACTAGAAGTTCTTCTTTTTAACAATTGGATGTTGTACTTAGCACTTGAATTTTTGTTGGTTATTAATAGTGACTTCACAGAAGATTGTAAATGTCTTTGACCTGAAGAGTTCAATTAAAAAAAAAAAAAAAAGCCCTACCTTTTTGGAGGTGTGCCTTGATATTACGAATGGCTTTCTTGGGATCAAAACTTTCTTTTGGTAACCTGTGGTCAATAAAGGCAACTTATTTTCTCCCCTATGAAATTGCTATTTCAGTCTGACTGGGGAGGATCTTTCTGACTTCAAGTCCGATT